TTAGATATTTAAAGGTAGTATTTAATTGGTTGCAATTTAAAAATAAAAAATAAAAAAACTGCAAAGAAAACAGACTAGATTATAGGCAATGGTAAAGATTATTTCAGCATATCTGTGTGGGTAACTTTAGGTCAAGGACAAATACTTTAAGATGATCAGTTAAGGTTTAAATTCATTTATACATTTATAAAATTAAGACACATACAGATAAGGCATGATGAAACAAAAACTGGGGGATTTGAAGGGTCAAATTTAACCTACTTATACATTAATGATGTGACTTTGGGGTTTCTAAACTCTTTCCCAGCTGTTTCCTCACATGTAAAATGGATTTACCATTTACCTTACAGCGTTCATGTGAAGATTAAATGCTAAATACCTGGGTTGAAAGTGAACCCTTTAATATATTATCAGTTCCTACATAAAAAAAAAAATAATGGTCAGATCTACATCATTCTTGGTTTAATTATATGACGCTTATTTAAAATGAGGGATAAATTTTAACGTACACCCGAAAGAAAATTTCGGATTTCTATCTGAAGGAGAGAAAAAGCATGTGTACGAAGAAATGAGCTACACTCCTTGCTCCACCCCACTCCCACCACTTAATTAATTATAGGCCCACCTACTTAAGGACATGAAGGTGAATGGAACGAAAGACAAGAGAACATTTAGGATAAGAAACCGCAGAGAAGCACAATAACCACATGAAATTAATGACCACAGACCAAAAATAGAAAAGAATTTGGTTTTAAGAAACAGCAAAATAAAAAAAATATATATAGGGCTGGCCCAGTGGCGCGTTGGTTAAGAGGTGGCTTGGGAGCACCAGCTCTGAGCAGCAGGGCCCCGGTTCGGATCCCACATGAGGGGGCCAATGACACTGCCCTCTACAGCTAAGATAGTGAACAACAGCTCGATCTGGGGCTGGGCTGCCGTGAGGCGACGGCGTAGGCTGCAGGGAACTGCAGTGGGCTGTAGTAAGGTACCGTGAGTAGCGGCAGCTGGCGTGGGCTTTCGTGAGCTGCC